ATGGCAGCAATGATCATAGCATTAGAGACACTGTAGACCACTGGATAATAATGAAGTTAAGGATCATAATTGTACATTATTAATGATTAATGTACATGTAGCCATGTACATAGCTCAGGGAGAGAAATAAAAAGAAGAAAAGAAAGGATAGAGAAAGAAAGGAGTACATGTGTATAAACACTGGGTATTTTTCAGAGTTTGGCCTTTGCCCATAACTTAAAAACTTTAAGTCGAAATCAGCTCAAACTTTCTACACTGCATAAAACATTATGTATCAAAAAATGTAATAAAAATTTGGAGCCAATTTTGGAAAAGTCTAATGCTAAGAAATGTGCATGGGGCATTAATTAGGATACATAAAATCCCGTCCTCAGTGAGAGTGAACAGCAGCAGTCAATTAAAAATAATGTCTTTCAACTTCCCAACATATTGTGGAAGAGTATCATCATACTGGAAGGACTCCATGAAGACTGAAGAGAGGGCCATTAGATTGTTGCTGGGATGGGGAGGAGGTATTTAAAGAGCTGTCATTAGCTAGGAGAATGACGTCTTCTTTATGAGAACCAAGTACTGTTAGTGTATCAAGACTGGAGCCTATTGAGAGGAGAAAGGAGAATAATTAATAACTATTAATAACAAAATATTTATTGATGGAGAGGAACTTAAAAAATTTGTAAAAAATTCAAATTTAATCGGTATTAGCTCAAACTTTCTATGAAACATAAGAACATGTATATGCATCAGAAAAAATTATTAAAATGCTGAAATCTCTCCTTTTAATTATGACTAATAGAACAGGGACTTTGGCCACATAGGAACATTGATCTATGATTGGAATCGGTTCAGACTTTCTATGCAACATAAGTACATGTGAAGCTGGTAATACTATTCTTTCTCTAACCTTCTCTCAGAGGACAACACCACAAGAAAGTCCACTCATCCACTGAGACTGAGGTAAGCATGGAATCCATTATCCTCTGCAACAACTCTATGACTCACTAGGAGCAACTAAATACGTTCAGCCTATCAGCCAGCCAGAAGCTCCCTTATCTTGTATCGACCATAGGAAAAACCCAGGAGTATCCATTCCAGTTCTCATAATGATCATGATGACTCCACGTGGTTTTAAGGCAGGGCAACCACACCCACACCACGCCCTTGAGATTGATGCAACACCCCGGTTAGCGCATTATTCCTGGATAGTTGTCCGGAGTTAGGTGTAACTGTTCCTGGAAACTATCCTTAGGGATAGACACTATGAATAATAAGTAGTTTAGCTTAATTAATGATTAATGAATAAGGGGGAGGGATGTCAAGGAGCTATGGAGGCTCACTCAGGAGCTCGCTCAGGAGGCTGAAAGCCTGAAACATCAAGAAAGGCAGCTCAGTGGATCATGGTTTTTTTAAATCACGAAGTGGATGGAGTACTGGTTAGTATCTAGTAGGCTTACATGTATATAAACATTATCCAGTAGTCAATTACTGAATATATATATATAATCCATTACTATTAGTCGAGCTATTAGTACTTATGGTTGCTGTACAAGTTGCAGCCAGTCTTTAACTGTTCATTTGATATTGTTCCTTAGTCCTTGTCCACGCATACTATGTTTTTACAGTTGAAATAATAATAATAATTATAATTATAATAATAATAATTATTATTATTATTATTGCAGTAAAGCATTTTACTGTTACTATTACTATAAGCCATTGTTATTAATAAAAAATAATGTTGTAATTTAAGTGGTTTTAAGGTGTCTGTGCATTGGATATTTTTGCCGGCATGAAGTTTTTCATAGTTTAGAAAGGCATCAGTCATTGGGCACAGGATGAAAAGCCTCTGCATTGATTAGTTGTTTCCAGCTATACTTGTTGTTGTCACTCATAGCATATTGCTGTACATGTAATACCAGTCTGTGTTGTATTATGGGAATTACATTATACTGAATTACTTCATGATGTTCACAAAAACTCTTGCTTTTACTATTATGCTACTTTACTTAGTACCCTGTAATCATTACTATTGCCCCAGGGTGTTGTGTCTGTGCACCATATGGTTTGTGTCTGTGTGCATAAGATTTACAAGCAGCCATCAATCATGCAGTCTAAGCTAACTTGCAATGTGGTATTATAATAATCCTTATAGCTGTTTATGCATCTTGTAATAGTATACT